ATCTTACTTTCATAGTTTAGTTCTAATTCTTGGTTTTGTCTATTTCAGGTTAATAAGGTTCAAACGGGCTAAAAACAGCCAATTAAGTCCTGTTTGGAGTCAAGAAGAAAATCTAGAGAAAGTCTGAAAATTTGCCCTACATTGGCAATCGATCGAAGATTCATCTACGATTGATCAAAGGACTCGCGATCCATTGAAGCCACGTTAGCAAAAGGATAAGACTACCACCTCATCATTTGTTCCAAGTGGTGATCGATCGAAGCTTTTAGCGATAGTTCACAGTGCCACTTCAGCGCCAGCTAAGCAAATAAGGTTGTCAGTTGTCAAGATAAGTATGCCACATCATCTTCGATCGACCAAAGCCATTAGCAATCCATCAAAGGCCCTGGCAATCAATAAATCCTGCTGACAGTGAGTTGTTTAATTCCCAAGTACGCCCGAATGCCACCTACCAAGGGGCTGTGAGATTGCACCAATGAAAAGGCTATTTTTTGACTTGTTGCCTACACAAAGGGACTTGTATTTAAATCAAATTGAATCAATTGTATAGCTGTTCCAACTTTTGACATTTTTTGTTAGATATTTTTTACATAGCTAGGCATAGTTTCTCTCTTTAGAGATTAGGTTCTTGAGCAAGAAAAGTGGTAAGAAAATGGAGCTAAACTTAAAGATATCCCTTGAGGGTTTCATTTTCACATCAATGAATGGCTAAGTCAACTTCTTAGGGCTTGGAAAAGTCATAGGCTAGTCATCTAGACTTTTGACATTTTTTGGGATTCTATGTTGTAATAAATGTTTTAACCATTTGAACATATAGATCTTGACTTTGTCTATGATTTGTATGGATCAATTATTCCAATTAATTCTCTAGTTTATTTACATGTCTATGTGTGATTAAATTGGGAATTATATCTCCACACTAGTTTCTCTAGATTTGATACATGTTTATGTGTGGTTAAATTGAGAATTTAGTGATGGTTATGTATCATTGTTCTTAATGGATACTCTTATAAATTGATTTGATGGACCATGATCATGCTTGGTGGATTGTTCTACACCCCTAGTTAATTAATTTAATTTCCTTATCATTAGTGTAATTGCATTTTAATTCCTAGATTAGGTAGACAATCCATGTTGGTGTTTGATAATCCATGTTTTTTAGTTACAAGATGTATATTTCTCTAGATTAAGATGTGCTACAATTGTGGGTTTATTGAATGGTTAGTGCTTTAATTTAATGATTTATACTACACTCTAGCTTAAGTAGACAATTCATGCTTGTTATTGACTTCCATGCTCATTGTTTCAATTGTTAGCACACATACACCTTGGTTACAACATTGAATTCCCCCAATTTGTTAAAGGCTAGATGTTTAGAGGAAGAGCTTAGTGGTGATTCCTATGCCCTAAGACCTCTATCTTATTCTTTACACCCTACTCTATTTAGATTGTTTGCTATTGCATTGTTTCATTTAGTTAATTGTAGTTTAATTAAACGAAACCAAACCACTCTTTTGATCACTTGACCTACTAATCTAACTTTTATTCTAAATACCCTTACAATCTCGTGGGACTATCCCTACTCCTATGCTATATTAGTAGTGGTTTTATAAATTTAAATTTGACCGAAAAGGCTTCTTAAACCACACTCATAATTTGACCATTGTGAAGCGACTAGCAATAAAGGGCGTGTCAATTGTATAAAAAGACATTAATACCCTCTCTAATATAACTTTTTGGGTTAAGTGCAAAAAACCCCCTGATATATATGGTTTGTGCAGAAATATTCCATACTTTTTGAAAATGGGCATTTCAATCCATAAAATTCAAAAAAAGTGCAAATAAGCCCATCTAACTACTTTTTGGTCAAAATTGACATAAAATAAATTCAAAAACCCTATTTTTCCCTTTTCTTTTCCTATTATACCATTTTCTCCTACGCTCCACCCCCACCACCACCACCACATCCACTATGTTTATTTTAGCCATTCAATTCAACCCCATAGCCAAAGTTTAATGCCGATCTGCTAAGTTAACTCAGTGTGTCATCAAACAAAGCCACATCACAAACCCAGTTGTTGGTGGCTGTTGGCGACGGTAAAGGACGGCGAGCTCGGGATGCCGTTAATATGTCATCGGTGATGGCAACTGATGAGAAGGGTCTGGATCTATTGGTGTTTGCCGTTCGGTAAGGATGAGAGCTTGCCGCGCGGAGTTTGGTTGACGGTGAAAGGTTGAGGTCTCATTCTACGACGATGAGACGGCGGCCGTCTCTGCCCCTTCCTCTCCCTCCATCACCTCTACCACAGTCGCCTTTATCCCCTCCTCCCCCCTCCATCACCTCTACCGCCACCACAACTTTTAAAGCCGCCACCACCTCTAGGGCCTCCGAGGCTTGTTCTACCTCTCCCTCCATCACCTTGACCGCCTCTGAACCCTCCACCATCACAACCTACAAATCAATCAACCAAATACAAAGGAAAAAATAAAGGGAAAAAGAAAAGAATAAATGATCTAAAATGGTAATTTTACATTGCCTAATTTTTTTAATATTATTTCATTTATATTAGAGAAGGTATTAATGTCTTTTTATGCGAACAGGGGGGTAATTGCACCAAATTGATAGTATAGGGGTGTTTTATACCACACAAGGACTGTTTTGCACTATATCGATAGTAGAGGGGGACTTTTTGCACTTAACCCAAGGGCAAAATAGGGTTTTTGAATTTATTTTATGTCAATTTTGACCAAAAAGTGGTCAGAGGGGCTTATTTGCACACTTTTTTGAATTTTATGGACTGAAATGTATATTTTCAAAAAATAGGGACTATTTCTGCACAAACCCTATATATCAACGGATATTTTTCCACCTAACCCATAAAATAACAAGTCTTCACTCTGACAAATGTGTTAGGATTATATTTCAAAAACTCTAATTCATAAATATTTTAAAAAATCTTTGGAAGAAGAGTGGAGTAATTCACCTTTATTTTATCAAATTGATAAAATCACTGCACGATGGTTACTTGGACGATAAAAAATCCTTTCTTTTTTTATGGAAAAGGAAAAAAAAAAAATCAACTATTTTACAAAGGAAATTTTTCATAATTTTATTAAATATTAATAATCACTTGACCCGGAAGAGAGAGGTTTAAGTCCTCGTGGAGGCAAATAGTGGATTTGTGTGTTTTGCAAAAAAAGAAAAAAGAAAAAAAGAAAAAAAAAGAAGGAAGACAACCTAAGTAATACTTAAATGTATAATATATGTAACCATATAGTAATTAGGGATGTCAACGGGACGGGTTCGGGAAGGGACACTCATTTCCCAAACCCATCCCACGAATGCAAATATTTTTCCAAACTCGATTCGAGGCGCCCGGCATCAGGGTCAGGGCAAGTTCGGGCGTGCTCAGATATGCATACTTTTTTTTTAAAAGAAAAACAATTCAAATTAAAAAAAATTTAAGATAAATTATATAAATTTTTGTAGTTTAGTAAAATATTTAATAATCATAAGTTATAATTTTAAAGGGTTAAATGCTCTGACACCATCTCAGGTTTGGATTTATTGCTCTCATATTAAACTTGAGCAAAAATTACTTCGGCAACCCCGTCAAGTTTTGGTTTAATTTGCTCTGACACCTCTTCTTTAAATTAATAAAATAAAATACCTAAATTACTTTCCATTTTTTCAAGTACATTTTAAACTCCCCCACATGTCAGCAATCTATTGATTACTGACCTTAATTTTTATTTTCAAAGTCTCTTTGCTCTCTCTCTCTCTCTATCTCTCTCTAGGCAAAAAAAAAAAAAAAAAAAAAAACTCTCTGCAGACCATGTTTCTAAATATATTAATGAGACTGCTTGACTTTTATATTTGTTTGTAATGTTCATAAGTTTTCCCTTCAAAACCTGGTTTCCTGATGTAATTTGGAAGAATTAATTAGGACCGAGAACTCTCTTAATCATTTGAAGCTGGCAAAAGTATTGTATTACAATGATGCAAATAAAAATCTTCTTTTACCAGTTATTACCACTCTGTTGTAAATGGCTATTGCTAATACATTACAGCTCTGGTTTAGACTAATTTGGGGGCAGCAAAAGGTCCTTAGGAAATGTAAGAGATTTTATTTATTTATTTTTTATACTGTGTAAATCTACTAGACATGCTCCTAGATATTTTTGAAAATTAATGCTTACGGTAATATTTGAAATTCTAATGAAATGCAGTTGAAGAAGGCAGGCCCATCATAGAAATTATCCTTCAATTTTTTAAAACTTCGTAAAATTGACTATGAAAATTTTTGTGCTTGAGGTTGGTTTTAGATTTTAAAAGGTAAACATATTGTAACGTCCCCTTCAAAAAAAAAATAGAACCTCCAAAAGAGATTTTGAGGGAGATGAGTTTGCAGAGGGTTCTTTTTTTGCAAAGGGATTTTGAGGGAGATGGGTTTGCAAAAGGTAAACACATTACCCGAAATTGTTTTAAGTAATACTTTAGAAATTCCAAAAAAAGAGAAGAAAAAAAAGGGAAGGCTTGGCTGCTGACACGGGGGCGAGTTCCTCTTTAAATAACACGTCTAAAAAAATTAAGGATAAAAGTATACTTAAAACAATGACGAGTAATTTAGGTAATTTACTTTAACAAATTTAAAAAAGACGTATTAGAACAAATTAAACAAAACCTGATAAATTATTTAAATAAATTTAAATTTGAAGGGAAGCATTTAATTCAATTTAAATTATTTAATATGAGAGTAATAAATTTAAATTTGAAGGGGAGCATTTAACTCAATTTAAAATTATTATAAAAAAATAAAAAAAAGGAAAATTTTAATAGATAAAATAATATTTATTTATACATTACTAATTATTAATCGGGATGAGTTCGATTTTAAATTCTCTTCTAAACCAACCCCTTACCGGATTAGAATAGTCCCAAACTCGTCCGGCCGGGTTAAATTAGTTGGTTGCTTTTTAACATTGCATATATAACGGTAAAAGTAACATGAAATTCGTTATCCTTTTGGAAGCCCTCAATCCCTCTGTGTCGTTGCTGGAAGAACACAGACTTTGCTGGAGCTAATGTTCAAGAAGCTAGGGCACTGACCGCTCTAAACCCTAAATCCCTACTATCTTCTTGGATTTCTGGATTGAGGTATGAGAAATTCAAAACACCCCCGATCAAACAAGTCCTCACACATATTTTGTGTGTTTGTATACATGAATATGCACAATTCACGTGATTATCTTTGGCATTGCAGTGTATGGAGGTGATTCTAGAGCAAAAGGATGCAGGAGATTGGACTTACAGGGGAGAAGGAGCTGCTAATCTGGTTCTTGCTTATACCGGCTCTTCCCCAACTTTTGTATGTTCATTTCTGCTTCAATTTGTTATTGTATCTACTAGTAAGTTCTTTTGTGGGTAAAGTATATGAATGATATTTATAGAGAGTTGTAGTTTGAGTTACTTTGTTTGGCTGCTGAGAAACTGTAGGGAATGTAAAGAAATTGAATTTATGAATTCGAATCTTTTGATCGTCCGGAACTTGACTGAGCCTGACAGTATTACAGGTATTGGTTGGGCTGAGATTGTTATTTTCTAGAAATCAGAACATAACATAATTTTTAATTTCTGTTCTTTATTTTTCTAGGCAACCACACACTGGTTGGAAAATTCTACTAGCTAGAATTGCTTTCCTTGATCTGCCTCTTTTCCGGATTGCCATAATACATTGATAATAGTTTCCAATTAGAAAACGAGAATCTATAAAGTGTCTGAGATTGTTATTTTCTGGAAATCAGAACATAACATAATTTTTAATTTCTGAGCTGTTCTTTATTTTCCCCGGCAACCACACAGTGGTTGGAAAATTCTAGTAGCTAGAATTGCTTTCCTTGATCTGCCTCTTTTCCGGATTGCCATAATACATTGATAATAGTTTCCAATTAGAAAACGAGAATCTATAAAGTGGGTAGATCAGTAAGAGAATCTATAAAAGTATCTGAACTGTAAAGTGGATGAATCTGCATAGTGAGTAATAAAAATGAAATTGATGCTACTATTTATAGTTAAAGAAAGAAAAGTTTGAGGATCTATAGAAATTTACCTGAATCCAATTGTTATTGGTTTTTTTTTATTTTATATATATATATATATAGATATAGTTAATGTTCAGAATCTATAGATGACTATTACATAACCCAAACCTTAATTTCCTTGGAAGCATGAAATTGTGTTTTATTGTAGCTCTGCATGATGCAGGATAGTGTGGGGAACATCGTCTTATTACCTATGAATCACAATTGAAGGCCGACAGTAAGAGAGGGTTTCAGGACTGGTTACAATCAGTTATAGTGGTTGAAAGATTCTTACTTGTTGAGTATTTAGGACTATGAAGAGTGCAAGAAAGGGTTTAGAATTTTGTTTGGGCTTGTGTAATAGGACTCGGATCATCCTTCCTATGCTTGCTCTTTTGACACTTGCTTAGCTGAGGAATTTTCCTATCCTTCCTTTCAATATTGGCCTATCATAGCACTGTATGTCCTGGGTGAATTTACCTCAAGGGGGGCAATTGGGCCACGCTCCCCTCGGTCAGAGATCCAAATAGAAAGATATTTCTTTATTGATTTGTGGTCTCACATCCCGCTTCCTATAACTGGAAGTTAAAACATATCTGTTCTCGGGTTTACAAGCTCGAAAAGTGCTCAAGGAATGGAAGAACTGAAGAATCTACAACTCTCACCTAGAATCTTTAAACCCAATTTTCTCAAACATTAAGCCGCATTAGACAAGCACAATCTCAAATTTTCAGAAGTCAACTCTATTTGTAGAAGGGTTATACATCCTTACAAGGCTGCCGGGATTTTTTATACTCTTACTAGGATGAGGATTTCAAAAGATAACAATTTAGAAACTTTGACAACCATTTAGTATTCTAGATCAAATAAGACTACATATAGAAATCAAGTATCATGACGTAACTCAATTGGACTCATGGACCATTATCACTGCCAATATAAAGAAAATGTAATATTACGAAGTACCCTTGACTCAGAATAAAGAAAACACAAAATTATATTATTAGTGTGATAATGTAAAACGAACACAAAGAAGACTTTGAATTTAACATCAAGTGGATTATGCCAGGTTATTTGCCTCTTTTTCTTGTTATCATTGCATTGCTTCACTAAGTGGATTTGTCTACAGAAAGAAACTGTAAAAAAACATTAAACAATTAGATTAAACTTCCTATAGATTTTCTGCTACGTACGAGAAAGAGATGGAGATTGTGAAAATATTACTAAATGAGAAAGGGCTTTGTTCTTACATTTTTGTTTATCACTTATTACTTCTTTCTTCTATTCTATATAGGTTGGCAAAGTATTACGCATACGAAAGGCTCCTAGGAACAGCACCGAATGTGAAAATAGCTGTCCAGCTCTTACCATGCATGAATGCCTTCTATGGAAAGATGCAAACAGCCTTGTATCAGCTCCTACAAGGGAGATTGCAAAACAACTGTTTGTGCGGCATGTAATGTGCCCGTTATTAGGTTCTGAATATGTTGATGCTGGGGTATGTTAAGTTACTTTTCCTTGATTTTTGTCTTGTGCCGCCATCTTTGCTTTATTATTACTGTTGTTGTTGTGGTTTATATTGATGATGAGAAGATGGAAAATGGGGTGAGGTTGACTTGAAGCTTGTCCAAAGGAAGTTTTACTTCGTGCTCTTGAAGTTGTTATTTTTGATCTCATTGTGAATACATTTGTTGGAGTCATTCTAGTGCTGTGGTGTTTTTATTTTTTTATTTTTTCCTTTATAAATATATCTAATCTTAGTTTGTTTTATGGCATGTTTTCGTTTTCCGTTCAATGGAAAAACTAGAATAGGCTTGGAATCTTTGTAATTAATGCTCTTGAAAACCATGAGTTTGGTCAATCAATTTAGTGATATATACTTTTTGTATATGTGAAGGAATTATAGTAAAACTTTTAGTTGATATCATATTTGGAAATGTCATGACCTTGATGGCGTCAGTAAGATCTCTAACCTTTGAGCTTCCTTCAACTTAGCAGATTCGTGTCCTCGTGTCCAGAGAATTTCTGGAGTCAATTGAAAATAAGGTTCTTGGTTACCGTCCTGCCTGTCGAGTTGATGCTGCCAAGGTCAATATTTTTTGTGACTCCGCACTTCTTATGTCTGATCATTCCATTTTCCCCCATGGTAATTACTATCTCCTGAGATGCTTAAATTTGCTTGCTAGTTCCTTGATAATTTTCCCAAGATGTTGTATTTTCAAGTGTGTAAAGCAGCTGTCCCTTAGAGATCAAAAAGCACGATCTCATCTTGCAATTTAATTAATGTTGGGAGTTAAATTACTAGGATTCTTGTTTAGAATTTTTTTTTTTTTGTATGTCACTCAGATATAGGGTCTGTATTGTGTTCAGATCAGATCTGGTTTTCCTGCTTTACTTGCTTCCAACTTATTAATAGGTGCGTTTCTTAGAATTGCATGTGCAGTTGCACTAGAATGCAGCAAACAAGGTATTCACAATCACAGAGTGTTGAAATTGGAAAAGACGAACACGGAAATGGTAGTCTCCATGATACTCTTCAATGAATTATGTACAAAAATGTTAAAGAAACAGGTATCACATCTGATGGGAATCGAGGGTGAAATTTAGAAATAGGTAGGTTACCTGCAATGACAACCTTGCCAATTGTATGGTGGGTGCATTTCCCATCTGTAGAACTATTGATAATAGAGTCAATAGATGAAACTGGAATGCCTACTTGTGTCCTTTGGTTCTATTCACACCTTGTAAGTAAGGATTTAGTTTGGCATATTTGATGTAAGTAAGGATTTAGTTTGGCATATTTAGATAGATTTTTTGAAAGATAGTGTCAAGTTAGTTTACCTCCTATCTAAGGGATGAATTGAGAATAAAGTTGCAACTAAGGCAGAATGGTAATTTTCGAAAATCCCAAGGGGTTGGCCTAGTGGTAAAATCACTTGGGCTTTGGTGCCTCACAAGCACCAAGGTCTGAGGTTCGATTCCCACCAGGAACTTATGATTTCTTGGGGCCACGCCTCCGCTGCCATACTCAGCGACTTACCCGGCCCAGGGTGGGGAGGCACCCTTCCTGGGTCCTTGGGGATTAGTCAGGGTGAAGCCTTGGATACCCTGGGTCAACAAAAAAAAATTGGTAATTTTCAAAGGCAAGGGTACAAAAGTAAATCGGCACTACTGTATGCACTCACAAAATTAGGGTTCGTGCAATAGGGTTTCATGTTTTGATTTGGAAAAATCCTAATTGAATTGCGTTAGAGTATATTTGAAAACTGCTATTTCTGAAATTTTAAATATAAAAGACAGAATATTTCAATCGACAGATCAATCAAAGGGTACTAGATGCATGTTGATCAATTGATATGAGTCCTTGATTGATCGAACTTACTGGATCTCTCCATTACTCTATTTTGTCTATAAATACCTTATTATCTTAGAGAACCTAAGAGAGATACATAGAGCATTATTATGGGATTAGAGTGCATATGTAGTTTATCTTCATGCATCATTCTGCATTAGATTGGTGAATGACATATGAGTGTTGACTACTTATAGCTGCTGAGCTAAATTGAAGATCAACACCAACTACTCAACCAACTGAAATTGATTGTACAACTGAATCAGAAGATTGAAGTACTGTTGAATAGGCATATTATGTGAGGAGTGCAATTTGTTAAAGGATGTGTGTCTGGAGACTTTGAGTCTGAGTTTGGTGGATCAATCTGTGTGAATAGGTAACTATGGTCTCGGGTATTTGAATTGTTAACCTAGTGTAAAATCTCCTTATTATAGTGGATTTGATCTGACTAGACTAGGTCCCATGATATTTTCCTGTGGAGTTTTCCACATAAAAAAACTTGTGTTCATCCTGCTTGCTTCTACTTTACATTATATTGTTTATAGTTGAATGTTTGATGATATTGGCATGATGGATGGATTGATTTTTGATATTTTGTGTTAGTTCAAATTTTAAATAATTGGTAATTCATTAGAATTTTAAAAAGAAAAACTATTTAAAACAACCATCAAACCTATTCATTCCTCCTCTAGGTTTAGATCACTGACCTTCCGCATAATCTCTTATCAGAGTCTGGGGTTTCAGTTCTTACCCCCATCAATTGTGGTAATTGTTTAACTTTTGCTTGATTTCACATTCCTTAAAGCATTGCTAGGAAAAAGTTAAAGAACTTATAACAAGGAATCCTTTTCCTGGTGTTAGTTTATAAGTTTGATGGGAATTCCATGTGCTTCAGATTACAATAGTATCTGATAGATGTTCAGTATACATTTGACCTGTTAATCAGGACAATGTTTGGATTTTTTCTCTTAAAATATCACTAACCAATCACCAATTCTCTCTCCATGCACAATTGTATTATTATTTTAAATATTCATTTTAATGATGAACACCGACTTATTAACTGTTTAAATTTTGGCACATTCTGTTTCAAAACCTATGTGCTTGTACATCAGTATCAGCAATTGAAAGGGTGTTATGATTGTTATCCCAGTTGAATGCTCAGGAAACCGAATCTTCTTGAACCTCCAATTTGACTTGAAAGAAGAGCTTATTTTTGGTTGGATGTGAGCCTCTATCACTCATCACAATAATTCTCTTTCTTTATGGGACCATTCTAAGAAGTGTGTGGAAACAAAAAGATAAAGTACCATTTTTAGCCACACAGAACTCATTTATAAAGAGATAGTAAAAGAAACTGATTAAGGTTGTAAAGATATAATTGCTGATGAAATAGAAAATAATCAAAATATGGTCTCGTAGAGTACAGAGTGCCCTTATGGAGTTGAGTTGACTGTATTACATGTCTTCAGTGGTGTTACTTAGTTGCCCATTAATCATTATATAATAGTATGAAATAGAACGCATTAAACTTGGGATTTGATGGAAGAGTCATTCATGAATACAATTGCCAGTTTATTTTTTTGAAATTGTCAGTAAAAAATAAAACTAGGTTTTTTTTGTATAAGCAATAAGAACATTTCCATCTGAAAACTAGTTCACTTTTTTTAGCATTTCATTTAAGAGTTGTATTTTAATAAGCTTTATTACTTTGTTTGTTTCAGGTAGTCTTAAAGAAGATCTCTGCATATCTGTTGAGATAAAGGTGCTTCCTGTTACATTTTCATTCTGTTTCTTCTCAAGGTTCAGAGTGTTATTAAATATTTATTGTTCTGTGAGTCATAATAACTAGTTTAATACATTACCACTTTCTGTTTCCATTTGCATTCTTGTTTCTATAAAGCAGCCCAAATGTGGATTTCTTCCAATTTCAAGTTTCATAGCAGAAGGGAATGCTGTTAAAAAGAATATATCACGTTTTAGAATGCACCAGGCCCTGAAACTGCAACAAAAAGAGGTAATGTTTCTTCCTTCTACTATGTTCTGCTCGAGGATAAGCTATACTTGGGGGAGGGGGATCTTAATTTAAGCTTATTTCTGTTTCAGCATTGATATATGATATTCGTACAACAGAAATTTGATTGTGTTGTATATTATTTTTCCTCTGATGTCGTTTGGAATTTGATTACCATTGTGAACCAAGCCTTCTTACTTTAGCATTGGTTTTATTGTTCATATATGATTTCGGCTCAATAATTCAGCGTGTTCCAAACTTCATCTCAGGTATCAGACGCGAGTGAATATGATCCTCTGGATATGTTCTCTCAATCCAAGGACAGAGTACTTAAAGCAATTAATTCTCTCTTTGTTACCCCTCAGAACAATTTTCGTGTATTCTTGAATGGTTACCTCATATTTGGGGGCTTGGGTGGTGGCGCAGACAGGACTAGTTGTATGATTAATGAAGCATTTGAAGATGCACTCAAATGTGTCATTCGGGCAGATGATGGACTGCGTACAACAAATTTTCTGCAGCTTGTTGCTGAGGCAGTTTTTAAATCAAGTTTACTTGATCGGCTCCTTGAAGCCCAGAGGCTTGATATTTTCGACATAGAAGGAGTGATTCATGCGTATTATGACATTGTTTCTCAGCCTTGTATGGTATGTAGGGATATGTGTGACAAGAAACAGCCAGACAGATATACGTCTTTGCATTCCATTCCTTTGGAAGAAAGCTTAAAGATTGTGAGGGACTATTTGATAGCTGCAACTGCAAAGGACTTGAGTATGATGATCTGTTTTAGACCCAGACAGGATGGGGATTTGGGGTCTGCAAATAGTGTTGTATTTCTAGAATCAACCAGTCAAAGTTTTGATTACAAGGTACACAGCCCTTATATCTTTTGCATTTAACATGTTTGGTTGGTATCAGATAAAATGGGAGGCGTTTGGCCATCACATCAAAATCATTTGAATTGAATTCAGCTTTCCATCGTTGCTGAAAATTTGAATAGAATCTTTTTTCCAATCTTACAATCCCCCTATATTATTCGTGGAAATAACTCATTTAAAATGATGTGAAAATTGAAGCATATGGTTTTATGTTTGATTTTAATGGAACAATCTCTTTTCCGTCATGGTGTTCGAATTTGTTGATTTATTGAAGTTAAAATCCCTTCTGTCGTTCATGTATAAGTGACTTGTTAAAAGAGAAAAAATAATAAAGAAGAAGCTTGTATACAAGGTGGGATTTTATTTTCTGATGTCTTCTAGTCTACTGCATCTATACAGTACTCCTAGAACACATTAGAAGATTGCTACAAGTTGTTTTGTTATGGCAGTAGAAAATTTTCTAACTTTAAAGCTGAGTCTTGTAATTGCCTAATGTTCTCACCATATTGATATCTCACTGAATCTGTGATTTACTAGGCATCTTTCCTTGATCTGGATATGAAACCTTTAAAGAAGATGGAACAATATTATAAGTTAGACCAGCAGATAGTCAGATGCTACACTCAGATGTTGAAATCTAAGCATCAACCAGAAAAAGAGGCTGCGACAATTGAGGCTTATACTGCCATATACTGAGACTAAGCCATAATCATTGAAGATAGTTCTCCCACTGGAGATTATGCTGGTAATGGATAGTTGTGTAATGGATCTCTATCTTTTTCCATGCATTTTTTCCCATCAGAATATATCAATTGGTTTCCTTCTGTATAATTTTCAATGGCCTCGTATTGTTTCAGTTTTATTTGGACTTGTAAGCATAGGATTCATCTGATTTCACTCTCACCTAAGGCCTGGGTACACACACAACACACATTACCATCACCCAGGAGGACCTGTACCCTCATGAGATTGGTGAGCATGGCCAAGGTTTGCTAGTCACAGGTTCAATTTGGCCATCATGAATTTAAATTGTCTTTCAGTATAAGCTCTCTGGCGTAAGTTACTCTGGCGAATCTGACAAAGTTAAAAAATCCCGAGGCAGTTAGGTGTTTGAAATCTTCCTAACAGTCTCTAAAGTTTCACTTCCTATAGCATATCTAGCAGTTTTCGTTTAATCTATTTGGTTTTATTCTTGAACTATAAATATATCTAGGAACCCATATTATATATATATATATATATATAAAACAAACAAAAAAATTTATACATATATCTAGGTGCCTGCAATATTCCTTTTCATCATCATCCTTGCCTTTAACCCCGACGGATGGGGTCGGCAACATGAACTCTCTTTTTCCCATTCTTTCCTATTATACACCATGCCTTCTCTAGGATTTAATTTTGTAAAATCATTTTTAATTACTTCATCCCACATAAGCTTTGGTCAGCCTCTTTGTCGCTTAACCTCTAGGCAAAAAACTCTTCCTCTTTTAACAGATGCATCATCGAGTCTACATTGAATATGTCCATACCACCTACGTCTACTTTCTCTAATTTTATCATTTATAGGCGCTATACCTAATTTTTTTTTTTTTTTTTTTTTTTTTTCACATGTTCATTATTTATCTTATCTCTTCTAATAACTCATATTTTAAACAATATTCTTTTGTAGGTGAATTGATTTATTTTAGACAATATTTGTGGGTGAAGATGGGCAGCATCCAACTTTGCTAAGAAATAAATGGAGCATCTTCCCTCTCTTCTCTATGCGTAACTTCGTTTCAGTCAAGAGCTAGAACAAATGAGAGAATTCTTATATGAAGTTTGGGCTCAGAGAACCTGGTGCTGGGCAGGGCAGGGCAAAATGAGCTTTCAATTGTTTTTTTCATTTATTGTAGCACAAGTTCTGCTTGTTGATTTTTATGGAAAACTGGTTAGGTTTTCTTCATTCTTCATATTTTCCTTTGATATTCCTTTGGTTGTGCAAGCCTGCCATCTGAATCAACTATGACTCTTTGAAACTGAGTTATCAGGACAAACAGGCAATCGGCCCATTTCGATGGCCGGGTCACTAATTAACTGGTTTATGAGTTTATTGGACTAACTTGTCTGGTTTAGATATATTTTAAATATGGAGGATATAATGAATTACTGAAATAATCTATTGGAGTGATCAAATCCAAAGTTTAATGACTTTTTGTGGAACCTCAAGGATGCATGATCTAAATTGGCACTAGTTTCTGCAGCGATGTTTGATTTTCATAGATTGCAAAATAGGAGCCAAAAGAATATATGTCATTAAGAATTAAGAATCATTTTCCTCCAGGCCTTTCTGTAAACATATTTGTGTTGTTCTGTAAAAGGATGTCTACTGAATTTTCCATTTTTGTCTTCTGTTTTCAGGACTTAAATTTGTTTTGCATTATTGTCCAGTTATTTTGATACCTGATGAATGATGGTTAAACTTTATTTATGTATATATGATTCTAGTTGAAAAATAATGGAAAAGATGTTTCTTCAAAGTCTCATCAACTTCTAAATTTTACTGAAATGTTAAAAAGTCTCAGAGAATTTTTTTCAAATGGAAGTGAGAAACTCACCTAGGGAGGCTTTGGAAGAGATCTCATCTTGAACAAAGATGAGTTTTGAAATAACATTATGTGTCTATAGTTTTCAGTTTAATTAGATAGACAGTTTCATTAAGTATATATCGCCTTGATAAAATATATCACAACTGAAACCAATCAAAGTCCAATGGATAACGCCTATGTAGTGCAAATTTCTCTAGGTTCTGGTGGACATTTTCAAAAATACTTATGCACATTGGTTTCATCTTTCATCTTTCGAGTATATCTGTAACCATGTTACCAGTGGGCCTTATCCTAATAGTACCATCACTGAGCATAGAACCAGATCTCATTTTGTCTGTTGATAGCCATATGTAATTTTATTTTCCAAACACTAGAAAAAATAAAAATAATAGAATATTTTACTTGAAAAAGAATAATATTATTTTTAAAAAATATTTTACATGGAAACAAAGAATATTGTAAATGTTCTTGTATTTCTTGTCCTTAAGATTTACTTTGTGAGGTGAAAGTCCTTGTTATTGTAATAATGTAATTCCTTGTTGCAACATATTGTGACAGTTGAAAGAAGCTTCTGTTATTCCATGAAATCCATTGTTTAATTGTATTTTTTCCTTTCTATTTTACGGTGGCGTAGGGCTTAGAGCAAAATACGAAGACCATTGGATGTTAGTCTTGGAGTACTGAGCTAGATGCCCTTCAATTTGAAGCGTCTTTGATGCGTGTGGTTCCTGCGTGTGCACACAAAACACAACTCATGCTTTTGATGGCGTTTGAAATAAAACTGAATGTTGTTTTAAAGCAAGTGTATGAGATAAATGCAATATAAAATTCAGAAGGGTTGGTTTTTTGTTTTTCCTTCCCCTAGTTGAGACTCTACACTCACTTTGCCACTATGGGGGCGGGAAACTCCAACAACCTCTTTATAGAAGGTAAAAAATTACCACTAAGCTACAATATCTGGTGAAGGTATTTTTGTTTCCCAATTTAGTTTGCACCTCATACTTTTGATGGCATTTAAAATAAAACTAAATATTCTTTTACAGCAAGTGTATGAGATAAATGCAATATAGAATTCAGAAGGGTTATTTTTTGTTTTTTCTTCCCCTAGTTGAGACTCTCACACTCACTTTGCCCCTATGGGGGTGGGAAACTCCAACGACCTACTTATAGAAGGTAAGAAATTACCACTAGGCTACAATCCCTGGTGAAAGTATTTTTGTCTCCCAATTCAGTTCGAAGCGTCTTTGATGTGTGTGTTCCTGCACGTGCACACAAAACACACCTCATGCTTTTGATGGCATTTAAAATGTGATGTTTCTAATTTTCGTCATTTTTCATTTTTTCGGAATTTTGTCGCTGCAAGGGCATTTTCGCCTTTTGCTATTTTTTGTACCGAACACTGTGGAGTGTGTCGGGTGTGTCTGAGAGTTATTTGGAACATTTCATTGAGTTCGGGACTCTTTGAAATGCTAGGGTGACCATTTTTGCATTTTTCAGTTTTTCGGGCCGAACGGTCCCGTGTGGGACCCTCTACTGGAATTGTTGCATCCAGGGATTGTAATAACCCGGTAATTTTCTGTTCTTTCTTTTTTTCTCAAATTTTATAGATAAATTTTTTTTCGTTTAATTTTCTTTTTCGAGTTCTGTTTTTCGACGCTTAGTGTCGTCTCGAGTGCTCAGAAATGATTTCCAAGACTCTTTCCCTTAGATTGACAACTTTCTTTAAGGACCGAGTCATTTCCACATTTTCACTTTTTGGACACTATTTACTTTTCGTCCTTTTCCCTATTTTGTCTTTTCCCCGTTTGTTACTTTTTGGTGCAACCTCATTTTCCATGCTCGAAGTTGGTTTTTGACTTCACGTATCTTCATTCTAAGTGGTTTCCATAAAATACGTATATTTACTTTTGCAGTAAAATACTCTGGTTGCTTCAGGTGTCCATAGGGGTGCATAGTTTTTCAGAATCTTTTTCTTTTCTTAGGGTATTTTTCATAAATATCTTTTGAAGACATTTTATTTCAGGAGTTTTTAAGAAAATATTTTTGGAAGATATTTTCATTCTAGGTTATTAGTCTAGTTTTCACTTTTTAGAGGGGCCATTGTGCAATTAATGAAAGTTATTGTAAAAATACCTTGTTTTGAGCCTAGATACTCGTACGGGATTCATTTTCACATTTCGTCAAGTTGTGTGCTCTTAGAATTTCCTTCTGGTCGTTTTTTTCCAGTTTCAGGGTTTTTGGCCTCGGTTGCCACCTAACTTATTCGAGGCATATCTCTCTGCTCGAAACTCGATTTTCGACGCCGTTTCTTCCGTTGTTCATATTTTCTCATTTCGGTTCTTTTTCGTTCATGGAGTTTTGCCGTTTGAGCGTGTCTGCTCAAATTCCACTTTTCCGGACCCTGCGGGGCACTTTTAGGGTTTTCCTATAAATTGGGGGTTATAAAATTAAATAGTCATCTTCCCCTCTCTTCATGCACGACCAGAAGATGCCATGGCAGCCCCTCTTGGGCTGTCACCCTTCTTTTCTCAATTAAACCTTCTTCCCTTTGTTAAAAAGTCATAGTGCCTTTACATTTTGTGTTTGTCTTGACTACACGCATCTTTCCCCCTTATTAGAATCCGTTTTTGGCCAATTTTTGAGTTCGGGTTTGAGGTCAAGTTAAGATTTTGGTAGGTCCTCTTTAGAGTTTAATGTTCATGAAGCTGTCCCCGACAAAACCCCGAAGTATTATCAGATTCGGAGCCGTTTCATTTTGGTGGCTTTTGAGATTTTCATCTCAAATTAAGGTAGGGGATGTCTTAGGCTTTTATTTATGTTGCATTAATAATTTTATAAGCTTATACCACTTGTATGCATGTTTTTTATTAATCCTAAAATTTAATTTAATTATTTTCCTTGTATAGGATTTAATTCTCAAGGATGTGTATAACTTAGAATTAAAGTATAACATGCTAGTAAATTTGGCATTGGTATGGTTGTTGACATATATTAAATTTGGGTCATTTGAATAAGAATTGTAACTTTTATTTAATATTTTTTTTTTTGAAAGATTAATTTCCATGGCCGTACCTTACATGAAATTAACTGGTGATAGGCTATTAAATTAAGTCCTGGCATGCTCTTTAACATACTTTAATTTTGGAGCATTTGGATGAGTATGAAAGTCTAGAGATTTTAATTAAATAAATTAATTAAAATCGATTTAAGGGTTCCATTGGCTTAATTGAGTTTTAAACTTGATATTTGAAATGACTAGGACTTATTTACTAGCATATATCAATTTGGAACCATTTGAAGTTACTTTAGAATTTAGAGATTTAATTATCATGATTTAATTAAATTCTACTTTATTGTTCCATTGGCTTAATTAAGATTTCGAATGGATGTATGTAATGGCCATGCAATGTTGTTTAACATGTGTTAATTAGGGATCATTTGATTGAGATTTGAAACTTAGAGAAATTAATTAGTTTATTTAATTAATTTCCGTTTCTATAGCGTTAATGATTTAATAATGTGTTTGACATTGGTTATATGTTTAAATCATGATTTTGGACTTGTATTAGATTCATGAGTTTATGATTTCAATATTGAGATATATTGTTATAGCGTGTAACGAATCATACACTGAAGATTCGACATTTGTTATGCCTTATTAGCTGTGGACTTAGAGCATGTATTGTACGTGTTTCCAAATTCGGTTGTGCATAGTAGATAGTTGATTATCTTGTATATACATGTTGATATATACGTTGTTGCATAACTTGTTGATTTTGGAAACTTGGGAATGTCATTGTTTGACTACGGCTAGGACATGGTTTTAGTACGGGGGATTGTCCTTCTACAGTCTAGTGCGCACATAGGGAGGTTAACCATGTGCTAGTAACCCTAAAATAACTATGGTGTCGGTCTGATCCGGCGTGATGTCCAAGTATCCACTTTGTTTGATTTCGTATTTCGTTTCAAGTTGATAACTAGATGATATCGTAACTTCTTGTTCTTTAATTGATTTCCCATTTTGAGTTTCAAGATGTTAACTTAGAGGAATCATGCTTTATGCATTGTATTGGAAGTTCCAATATTGGTTCAATTGTATCGATATTGTGATTTGTGTTTTTGTTCAAATTTAACTTAGGAATGATCCTATGAATTCATTAGAACATAGACGTTAGGTGGCATAATCCACTTTAGTTGTTTTCGTGTTTTAGATTTCAAGTTGAAGACTTTGAGAATCTATATCTTGATATTTTGTATAATATGTTTCCATGATTATTTGATTTACATGAACGATGTGATTATGTTAGAAACGGTCTAAGGTAGCTTATGATGATTCCTTAGACTCATTGAAACATAGAAGCTAGGTGGCATGACCCACTTTAGTTGTTTTCGCATCTTAAGTTGCAAGTTGATACTTTTGAGAACCTATATCTTGTTGCTTTGTATAACATGTTTCTATGTTGTTTAAATTGCATAAATGATGTGATTTATGCTAGAAATGATCTAAGGTAGC